ATCACTTTCCTCTTAAAATGGGAGAGTAAATACTACAGTGGACCCTCAACCAATGGCATTAATCTATTACAGAGATCTTGCCATTAGTCGAATGTGCCATTGGTCGAATTAATTTTCCCCATAAGAAATAATGGAAATAGAATTAATCCGTTCCTGACACCCCAAAGTATGAAAAAAAAAAATTTACATGAAATATACATTTCCCTACACCAAAATGTAATGGGACATGCAAAATAAACAATAATTAAATGCAACTTACCTTTATTGTGGAGTTGTTGATGAGTGATGAGACGGTAGGAGGGCAGATGATGCAGGTGTTATATTGTTTGGAAGGGGAATTCCCATCCATAAATACTTGAGGTACCAATCCTTTGGTGGGGTTACCTCCCTTCTTGGTTTTTTACTGCCACTAGGACCAGCTTGAGTCTTTGGACCCCTGTCGCACAAAATATCTGTTCAGAGAGCTCTGTTTCTCACGTGCCCTTAGGATTTCCCTAAAATGGGACACAAGTGTCATTGTACGTGTTACCAAGGTGGCTTGCAACTTCTGTGACAAGATACAATTCAACAGATGCTTGCACCTTTGTAAACATTGAACACATTTCCCTAATCCTTCACGAAGTCATCTTCCTCCGTCTCTCTTCATCCTGTTCTGAAGAACATTCCAGAGGTGTGATCTGTTGCTGTCGCACCTGAAGCTCTTGCAGGTCTGCAGTTGTTAGTTCTTCCTCGTCGTTCTGCACCAACTCTTCCTACATCGTCGCCACAAACCTCCTACCACAAGGACTTCCCCAATGACACAATAGCTTCCACTACTGGCATAGCCTCCTGAGGGTTAGCCCCAAACCCTTCAAAATCCCTCCTCTACACATTCTGGCCACAGTTTCCTCAAGCAGAGTTCAAGGTCCTCTTAGTCACTTCCTCCCAAGCCTTACCTATAAGGTTTACACAGCTGAGGATATTGAAGTGATCTTTCCAAACTCTCTTAGGGTCAATTGAGTGTCTGAGGTCACTTCAAAGCACTTTTGAAACACTGCTTCTGTGTAGTTTTTTTGAAGTTTGAAATGACCTGCTGGTCCATGGGCTGGAGGAGAGGAGTTGTATTAGGAGGCAAAAACTTCACCTTAACGAAGCCAAACTCCCCTGCAATTTCCTCTTGCAAGTCGTGAGGATGAGCAGGAGCATTGTCCTTTACCAGGAGGCACTTGAGTGACAATTTCTTTTCCTGGAGGTAATTTTTCACAGTGGGGCCAAACACACCATAAAACCAGTCCAAGAAAAATTCCCTCGTGACCCATGCCTTAGTAACTGTTTGATCTCCACAGCACACGCAAATTAACCTTGACAATATTGCTTTTCTTGAACACACTGGGAGTTTGAGTGATACACGAGTAAAGGCTTCACGTTGCAATCACCACTAGCATTATTACACAGCATTAATTTCAGCCTGTCTTTCATAGGAGTGCCTTTTCCTCCTGAGTAATGTAGGTCTTGTTTGGCATTTTCTTCCAAAACAGGCCTGTTTCGTCACAATTAAACACTTGTTCAGGTTTTAAGTTTTCAGTCTCTATGTATTCCTTAAAGTCCTTCGCATATTTTTCAGCCACTTTTTTGTCTGAACTGGCTGCCTCACCATGCCTTACCACACTATGTATGCCACTACGAATCTTAAATCTCTCAAACCAGCCTTTGCTGGCCTTTAATTCATCAATCTCTCTTTTGAGGCATTTTCTTAACGAGATCATCCTGCAACTTCCTTGCCTTTTCACAAATTATAGGCTGAGAAACACCATCTCCTGATAATTGTTTTTTGTTTATCCATACCAATAAGTCTCTCTACCTCTTCAATTATTTGCGGTCTCCGTTTTGAAAACACACTTGAACCTTTCGCAACAACAGCTTCCTTGATTGCCTTTCTGTTTACCAAGATAGTACTGATGGTTGAATGTGATTTGTTGTATAGCCTTTCCAACTCTGACATACGCACTCCACTTTTGTATTTTTCAATGATCCCTTTCTTCATTTCCAACGTAATTTTCACCCTTTTTACCACAGGCTTGGCACTAGAAGCTTTCTTGGGGCCCATGGTGGCTTTAGTGGTTACAAGCACTAAAAACACTTAAATAATCCAAAATATATGGGAATTGCACGTGGAATCGACCGCAACAGCTGGTAAACAATGGCACACTGAGTCTTGGAGTGGCTGGGTCCACTCAGGCCGCACTCCCAGCGCATTGACACTTCCAGATGAATGTCGTTGGTAGAGTTTTTTGCCGTTGGTAGAGACTTTTTTACGCCAAAAAGCGCTGTTAAACAAACTTGCCGTTACTTAATGCTGCCATTAGTTGAGGGTCCACTGTACATGAAATCAGTGAATCCCAGGTGTTTGCTGCGCTGTTTGCTGTAGCTGGCGCTCATTTGAACTGGTGCTCCCACAAGGTACTAAGTGGTCCCAGATTTTTTTAATACTGCGCTCAGTGTTGGGACCCATTCTATGCTGACAAGGCATCTCAGGCCAATCATGCCAAACTTGAAGGCAGGAAAAATAAAAGGTATATATATGTTTGGGGCACTAACAGTAAAAATGTATATATATGTTTGGACCGTTTACGGGTTAAGTGGCAATTTCTTTTCCAGGAGATATTTTTTCACACTGGGGCCAAACACATCATTGAATCACTCTTTGAAAATGTGCCTTGTGACTCATGCCTTATTATTAGCTTTCCACATCACACACAATCTATTCTTGACGACATTGTTTTTCTTGAACACTCGGGGATTTTCAGAGTATACACGAGTAAAGGCTTCACTCTGAAATCCCCACCAGCATTAGCACAGAACAAAAGAGTAATCCTGTCTTTCATAGGCTTGTGTCCTGGCAGTGCTTTTTTCTCCTGCGTAATGTAGGTCCTCTTTGGAATTTTCTTCCAAAAGAGGCCTGTTTAATTAAATTGAAGACTTGTTGGGGAGGAATCCTTCAGCCTCTACGTACCCCTTCAATTCCTGCAAAAAAATTTCAGCCGCACATTTATCAGAACTTGCAGCCTCCCCATGCCTTACCACACTGTGTATGCTACTATGCTGCTTAAATCTCTCAAACCAGCCTTTGCTGGCCTAAATTTACTAACAGCAGCACTTGTTCCAGGCATTTTCTTTACAAGATCTGCGTGCAACTGCCTAGCCTTCTCATAAATCATCGACTCCATAACACTGTCTCCCGCCGATTGTTTTTCAGTGATCCACAAAACCAACAACATCTCTATCTTCCATTATCGGTGACCTTTTATTGGTTAGCACATTTATTCCTTCTGCCACATCAGCTTCCTTGATTTGTTCTTTCTTTGCCAGAATAGAAGTGATGGTTGATTTGTTTTTCCCATACATCCTGGCAAGTTCTAGCACTCGAACACTACTCTCATACTTTTCAACAACTTTTCTTAAATTCCATCATGTTTCTCACTTTCTTTACCAAAGGAACTTTACTAGGAACTTTCTTTGGGGCCACGGTTACCTATTTGCCAGTTGCACTTAATCGATAACCACGAAAATCAGTGTATTGGATGATTGACCAGAAACTTTCTCACTTGCTCAGAGACAAAGCCAGACTGACGTGCTGGCAGCGGCAGGTTGATGTGTACCATACGGCTGATAACCAAGAGTTGAAAAACCAGCCGATAAGCAAGTTTGTCGATAAGCGGAACGGCCGAAACCAAGGGTCCACTGGATTAACAAAAAATAATATTTTAGAGATCAAATATAGATTTAAATACAGAAAAGAATGACAAATATAAAGCACTAATAATATGTATATATGAACATTTAACATCACACTTACCTGTTTAGAGACTGGACAAAATGCTCGAATATGATGCTATTATCAAGTCTGCGGCTTATTTATCTATCACTATTCATCTAATATGACATAATAAACAATATTAATAACATAGAAACATGATACTGTACATACTCTAGAATGAATAAAATATGTCACTATGTATGTCACAAGTGGTGGTGGTGTTGGGTTTATAAGGGCCACTGACAGTTTAAGTCGTACGTATTAGTGATGGTTGAGGCAGCAACAGGGGCAGCAGTGTTGTCAGTGGCCCTATACCTCCAACAACATTGGATGAGTTAGTTTCGTGTCCCTTTTCTATCACTTAATTGCTACACTGTTAATGCTACACTTTATCGCTGGCTGGTGCTATAGCCTTTATCGACTCCTGATGCTTTATTATCGTACATATAGTAGAATCACTGAAGAAGGCACAGTCTCCCCTCCTATACATTCCCGTACATTCTGGCAGGATCGGCCACACGTACGCCACTTTCACATTTCTGTGATTTCCTTCCTTAATTTTATCGTGTTTCCTCATCATCTTTACCAAAGGCCTGGCACTAGGAGCTTTCTTTGGGGCCTTTGGTGTCTTATTTAGCAGTTGCAAGCACAAAAAACACTGGATTATTGCAAAATGTTTTGTATGAATGCAGGGTGTGATTCACTCGCCGATAAACAATGCCAATGTGGCGCTGAGTGCGTCTGTGGAAGGCTTTATGTGCGCGGAGCCACTGGGACACTTACCATACCACTGCCGAAATCCAGGGTAAATCGTGAAAATCGAGCCTATATTTGGACAAAAGAAGTTGCCGATAACCAAAATTCATGATAACCAAGACTCCCGAAAACCAATGGTCCACTGTACTGTTTGCCTGTTTCACTGTAAACATTTGGTCTATATACCCCTTACCCTTCCTAAAGCCTCCTTGTTCATCTGCTATCCTACTTTGTCTTACTTTTAATTCTTTCAATAATAACTCTACCATACACTTTACCAGGTATACTTAACAGACTTATGTTTGTATTTTTTTATTGAAAGTGTAGAAATGATTGGACTAATAAAATATCACATCAGAATATAAAAATTCCACTTAGTATTACAAGGTTTTACAACTTGGTATCTCATTTGCATTTTAATAGCATCATTGCATGCCCTTCATTACAGAATACCAGATGGTTTGCGTGAATTACGAACGTTACTGGAGCAACACATTACTAACCAGGGCTTGGCAGCAATTGATCGCTGTGGAGAGAGTGCTGTTAATGTAAGGAAGGGCTGGTCATACTTGTATTGTGTGCTTTTTATTTAATCTTTATATTTTATATTTAATTTATTCTGATTAAGGTCCACTGTAATTGAAAATTTGTTATTCAGTTTGCAATTACTCTACATTTAAATTATAATTACCAGTATATGGCTTTATAGCAAATTAATTAAATCATGTTTTCATCCACAGGACCCAAAAATATATGTACAGACTATCTTAGAAGTTCATCGCAAATACAACTCATTAGTGCTAACAGCTTTCAATAATGATACAGGCTTTGTAGCAGCTTTAGACAAAGCATGTGGACGCTTTATTAACAACAACAGTGTAACCAAACATCCGAACTCCTCGTCAAAGTCTCCAGAGCTCTTAGCGAAATATTGTGACTTGCTCCTTAAAAAATCTTCTAAAAATCCAGAGGAAGCAGAACTAGAAGATACGCTTAATCAGGTGAGGTTGATGTTATATACTTTGGTTAAATGTATAAGGGGATGTTCAATGCAACAGATTTCTTTTCTCATTACTTGTGCTTTCTTTTTTTTTTTTTTAACACGGTATTAGGTTTCTACCTAATTAGTGACCCAGAGATATATATTTATTTATTATTACACTGGCCGATTCCCACCAAGGCAGGGTGGCCCAAAAAAGAAACTTTCACCATCATTCACTCCATCACTGTAGAGTAAATTCATAAATCATTCTCCTTCACCTACTTGAGTAACATTTGTACATGAGCCTATTGGATGTTCAAGTCCGTCTCTCACACCCATTACACTTTCTTCAACCTTTCCACCTTTATATTGCTCTGCTCCTTTCAGAATAGTCACTTTGAGACTGTTTCTTTTGATGGAGCATTGATCTTATGTATCATCTTTCAACAAACCAGCCATATCCCACCGAGGGAGGGCAGCCCAAAAAAGAAAAAAAAAAGTTTCTCTTTATAACTAATGTATACAGAAGGGGTTACTAGCTCCTTGCTCCCGGCATTTTAGTTGCCTCTTTTGACACGCTTGGCTTATGGAGGAAGAATTCTGGTCCACTTCTCCATAGAGATAAGAGGAAATAAACAAGAACTAGCAAGAAAATAGAAAAAAACCCAGTTAAAAGTGAACATAGATAAGAGTAGGGTGATGAGGGTATCAAATGATTTAGATAAAGAAAAATTGGATATCACACTGGAGAGGAGTTTGGAAGAAGTGAATGTTTTCAGATATTTGGGAGTTGAGGTGTCAGCAGATGGGTTTATGAAGGATGAGGTTAACCATAGAATTGATGAAGGAAATAAGGTGAGTGGTGCGTCGAGGTATATTTTTTTTTTCAACAAATCGGCCGTTTCCCACCTGAGGCAGGGTGCCCCCCCCCCCAAAAAAAAAAAAAATAAGGAATGTATGAAAGTATAGTGGTACCAACTCTCTTATGTGGGTGTGAACCTTGAGTTGTAAATGCTGCAGCGAGGAGACGGTTGGAGGCAGTGAAGATGTCCTGTCTAAGGGCAATGTGTGATGTATATATTATGCAGAAAATTCGGAGTGTGGAAATTAGAAGGTGTGGAGTTAATAAAAGTATTAGTCAGAGGGCTGAAGAGGGGTTGTTGAGGTGGTTTGGTCATTTAGAGAGAATGGATCAAAGTAGAACAACATGGAGAGCGTATAAATCTGTAGAGGAAGGAAGTCAGGGTAGGGGTCGTCCTTGAAAAGGTTGGAGGGAGGGGGTAAAGGAGGTTTTGTGGGCGAGGGGCTTGGACTTCAGCAAGCTTGCATGAGCGTGGTAGGAGTGAATGGAGACGAATGGTATTTGGGACCTGACGAGCTGTTGGAGAGTGAGCAAGGTAATATTTAGTGAAGGGCTTCAGGGAAACCGGTTATATTTATATAGCTGGACTTGAGTACTGGAAATGGGAAGCACAATGCCTGCACTTTAAAGGGGGGGGGGGTTTGGGATATTGGCAGTTTGGAGGGATATGTTATGTATCTTTATATATGCTTCTAAACTGTTGTATCTGGGCACCTCTGCGAAAACAGTGATTATGAATGAGTGAGGTGAAAGTGTTGAGTGATATAAGTATTTTCTTTTTTGGGATTTTCTTTGGGTCACCCTGCCTCAGTGGGGGATGGCCGACTTGTAGACAAAAAAAAAAAGTACGTGTAGTGTGACCTAAGTGTAAGTAGGAGTAGCAAGATGTACCTGAAACCTTGCACGTTTATGAAACAGAAAAGACACCAGTAATCCTACCATCATATATAACAATTACAAGTATCCATTTTACACTTCGCTTGGCAGGACTGTAGTACCTCCCTGGATGGTTGCTGTCTACCAACCTTCTACCTAGGTGAGCTTATGTATATCACCCATAAACATCAACTTGCAGGTGCTCCTGCCATCCTCTGTAGTACATGGAGTGCATCTTACTGTGAAACACATTTTAAAATTTTGCAATTGGCTTGAGCATTCCCTTTCTCAGGGTTTTTAAAGTGACCGGGATGCTTATAGGGATCTGTGGTCTTCTAGGAGAGTCTTTTGATGTTAATAATTGAGTGGAATTTTTAATTAACTTGGTATGATAGCATTTGTGTTGTGGGTTTTATTAATGTTCATTGTCTTGAATTTTTTTTTTTTTCTTTAAATCTTTTGGTTTTCTTATGTGCGTGTTTGTCAAGAGTGCTGAATGATATTCATGGTCAAAGCTCTGTTTAAATTTTGAAACTTCCTATCTTTTATTGTAAATTACAGTAATGTTTACAAAACTGATAAACAACCATTTCACTGTGTAAAGGCTTTATTTTTATCTATTTTACTACAAGTCGTGCTTCTCGCTTCCCCATCAGTATTGTTTACCAAAATTCATGCATTTCATGGAATGTTTCTTTTGATTATTTGAAATAATTTCCTTCTGTTTTTAATCCATATTTGGAGTATTTTTACACACATACAGTTATTGTGATTCAAATAACACAGCAACCAAAAGAATATTGAGTATTTGCTGAATTATAAAAGTTTTACAGAAGATAATCATGGTAATTTGACTGTCTCTCTTGAAGCTAGTAATCTTTATTTATGCAACATAAATTGTGACCTTCACTTAAAAAAAATCTATCAAAGCCAGGGAGGCCCTAAAAAAGTTTTGTTTTTGTACCATGATATCTAAATGGCTTTGATAATTTTACTCCAAATGTATTTTGTTGGAGAATTTACAATGTATTGGTTTTTACACAGATGTTGTGCACATGGGAGACTGGAACTTATGACAATGTTTTGGTCTGACTTGGACCATTATCTAGTTAATGGTCCAAGTCAGACTCAAACATTGTTAAAAGTTTGTCTCTTATGTGTGGGTTATTTTTGTATTGTTTATTACTCTTGTCGTAGATTATGAACATGTTATGCTATTCTAAATACAATCTCTCCTCACTTAACGGCGGAGTTCTGTTCCTAAGACCACGTTGGTAAATGAATTCGTCGCTAAGTGAGGAGTATACTATAATGGTAGTGGGTTTGTGTCAGCCATCTTTGATGTTGTTTTAATGTAACCTTTGCACCACTTATAACATTAATGGCATATTTTTAAATGTTTATACAGTAGTGTACTATATATTGTAATAAACAGAATAGAGGAAATCAGCTCTAATATACATTATTTAGGTAAGCATAGTGGTCAGATATCCCGTCGTAAATCCGAGGCGTCGGTAAACGGGTACGTCGCTAAGTGAGGAGAGGCTGTAGTCGTAATGCCAATACCTCTGAATACACCTAATGCAGTGAAGTTTATTATTGGTATAGTTTCACCTATAAGCAGACTCTTAAATACATTTTGTACTTGATATAGGCTGCTTGTGGTTATAATGTTGTGCAGTACCAGTAAAAACTACTGAATTAAGGATCTAGCTACCTCGAAGTGTTCTACCTTTAGCACTATAACATAAGATTTTCATATTCTAATTTTATCAAATACTTTCCAGGTTATGATAGTATTCAAGTATATAGAAGACAAGGATGTATTCCAAAAATTCTATAGTAAAATGTTAGCAAAGAGGTTAGTGCAACACATGTCTGCTAGTGATGATGCGGAAGCATCCATGATCTCCAAGCTCAAGCAAGCGTGTGGGTTTGAATATACGTCCAAGCTACAGAGAATGTTCCAGGTACAGTATAAGTAATTTGTAGTTTATTATAACAATTTTAATAGACTCTTAGAGGAAGTTACAGTTCGGAGGTTCATCTGAACTGTTATGTCAGCACACTTTTGACAAGATAGCAGTTGTGATGTTTTTATTTATCCAACCTCGGTGGGATGTGGCTGATGTGTTCAAAATAATAAATGAGAGAAATGGACTCTACTGCTTCAATTATTCATAAGAATGTAAGCTTAAGGCTGTAAAGAATACATGGGAAGGACTTAAGATATTTCAGCAGTCAAAATTCTTAATAAGGTACCCATGCAAGTAAGTTGATAGAATTTTTTTTTTTAAAGCATTTATCAAATTAATTTTTATGAAGACATTATTTTTCTGGACCTCTTTGACAGTGTTGCAGTTTCCAAAAGTTTATTTAAAAATGGTCAGTCAAATAATAGGCTAAACCATGTTCATGTTTATTAGGCTCACTGGCTACAAACTAAGAGAGAATTACATTTAAAATTATGAAAGAATACTTTATGGAAAGTTCCAAGAACCACTCTAGGAATAGCAACATGTCAGTATACCTCTCATTGCATCAATAATGCTCTTAATAACTTTTCCTTGTGCTTTACTGCACTCCCTTGTCTTCAGCAGCTGGGTATGCTCTGAACACCTGTATGTATAGCTTGAGGTGGAGAAGCTGACATGAGGTAGCAGACAGTACTGTTCATGCAACTTTGCAGAGAAAATAGATTTTCATTGTTAAAAATAATGTATTCTGTGTTGAGGTTTCATGGACCACTTAAACAATTCTACCATCACCCACTTCGTTGGAAGAGGCAGTTGTTTACTGGAAAATGTAAAAATCCAAAGAACTGTTAACTGTTTTTTCTTAGTGAGGCTCTAAACCTGTACATGTTGTGTAGTGCTTGGGAAATAAAAGGCAATTGGGTTCAATCCTAGGATGGGGAGGGTAAGTCTAGTTTCTTGGATCAAGAGAATTTCACTGGCATCAAGGCACTTGCCATGAGGGTCCATACTGAAACAAAGCTCACAACTGAGCTGCTAGATTTACTGATAGGGCTGCAGGTAGATTATCTCTTTACAGGCCTTTGGCAAAATTCTGTATCCTAAGTAAAGATAAGTTTATCTTCAGATCATTACATTAGTATTCACTTGCTGCATAAAGGTCTGATGTAACATATCAGTCAGTCTTTCATAATAAAATGAAAACACTTGGTAAGTTCATTGCCTGCTTTGCAGGATGGGTGTCACTGTTTGAGTTCTGGTGTTCATTGGTATTAGTGTCAAATTTTTTGACAAGACAGTATGTGATGAGTCACCTTACCTTTGTGGGAGCCTGTTTCCTGTTATCTTATTGCATAAACAGTATATGTATTTAGAATAGGGAGTTAATATGCATATAAACAGTGTAGGAAACAATTGTTAAAATGCTGTATAGATTGATGAATGGTGCAAACTAGTTTTTTGTAAGTTTTTTTTCTTTCTTTTTCTTTTCTTTTCTTTTTTTTAAATTGTCTTTGTACTTGCAGGATATTGGTGTATCAAAAGACCTCAATGATCAGTTTAGAAAACACCTGGTGAGCAGCAATGAGCCTTTAGACTTAGATTTTGCTATCCAGGTGCTATCATCAGGTTCATGGCCCTTCCAGCAGTCTTCAACATTCACACTCCCTCATGAGGTATGATCAGTAGTTTTGACCCTTTCACTGTCTTCCATGGTGGTCTGTTATTGATGGCAGCATCACTAACATAGATCCACGTTTTAAGCCCAGTACATTTTGACCTGGACATGAGAGAATGGATCTGTGTAGTGAGTATGCAGAGTTAAAAAAAAAAAAAAAAAAAAAAAAAAAAAAAAAAAAAAAAAAAAGGCACCATGCAGTGTATAACAGGAAAAGCAAACCTCTGACACTGTATTTCGTTTAAAATACAAACTCTCTGGTGTTTTCTAGGTGCCTTTCATGTTTTTTAAGCTACTTATTGGTATCAGTTGATACCATAGAAAACACTAGTGAAATGGATTTTTTTTGGTCAGTTTCAGGACTGGAAGTATGTAGTTTGAAATAAGGCTCTGGGTAGCAGAAATGTTCGACTTGGCAATTTTTCTTTAGAAAGGGTAGGGCATCTTTCCCACCTAGCCCTTTCCCCAGTATATTTTATGGGTTTTTAATAGGCTTCCTTCAGTTAATGGGATAGTCTGAACCATGACCAATCACTCTTGGTTATATATTATTAACCAATAAATAAGGTAAAACTTTTTTTTTTTTTTTCATGTTTAGTGACTTTTTTTTTGTGTTCATTTTTTTTTTTTTTTTCAACAAGTCGGTCGTCTCCCACCGAGGCAGGGTGACCCAAAAAAAAGAAAGAAAATCCCCAAAAAGAAAATACTTTCATCATTCAACACTTTCACCACACTCACACATTATCACTGATTTTGCAGAGGTGCTCAGAATACAACAGTTTAGAAGCATGTACGTATAGAGATACACAACATATCCCTCCAAACTGCTAATATCCCAAACCCCTCCTTTAAAGTGCAGGCATTGTACTTCCCATTTCCAGGACTCAAGTCCGACTATATGAAAATAACCGGTTTCCCTGAATCCCTTCACTAAATATTACCCTGCTCACACTCCAACATGCTGATGTTTAATTGAAAATGGAGGGCCTGGGGATATGATTAACGCACAAAGGATTGGTTGCTTTAGTGATTGAAATGCAGTGTTTATTGGGGACTTTATTATTAAATTGAAAGTTTTAGAATTTTGTGTAAAATTGGCCAAGTTGCCAACTTCTGTGCACTTTGTAAGATAGTTATGGTAGTTGAATTGGCAGCTTCTTGAACTTAATTGAAAGCACATTTGCAAAATAGCTAGAAATTTGGTCAGATTGGGTAAGGATTTGGTTTAAAATAGGATTCAAATTGTCCAAACTCCGATGTGTAAATTATGCTCACACCACTAACTTTGTGTCTGTAATTCAGTAAGTTTTCCATCAAATTTCACATTTTTGGTGTCATAACCTTGAGGGAAAGATTATCTTTCATTTCAGGACAATTTTTATTATTAAATAACTACAGCATTTAATTTTGGGGGTCATGACAGTGCAAGGTTTATATGGTTTTCTTTAACCAAAACAGACACCTATATAGGTAAATACTACAGATGATTTGCATATTTAGGCCTTTGAAACTTTAGGTGACTGGTGGTTCTCAGAGATGAACCATACTGATTCTTTACACAGTGTTTGTTTTCCATTCATTTGGGATTTACTGATTCATTGAGCAGTATTAGACACTAGCAAGACAGTGCTGAGTGAATGATAAAAGCATTTCTTCTTTTTCTGGTTGCCCTACCTTGTTGAGAGACAGCTGGTATATTAAATAAAAAAAAAAACTCGCATAATAGCATACACATGTACACAAATGAAAATACAAATTCTCATTAATTTCCAGTTTTTATGATGTGTAGTTTTTAGTGTATATTTAACCCCTAAACAGTCCAAACATATACAGTGGACCCTCACCTAATGATATTAATTGGTACCCGAGTTTTTTAGCGTTAGCCGAAGCAAAATGTTAGCGTTAAAATGTATCGTTAGGCGAATTTGTTACGCGATGCGTTCATTACGCAAGGGTCCACTGTATATACGTTCTTACCGCTAGTGCCCCAAATTTGGCATGATTGGCCTGAGATGCCTGGTCACCATAGAATGGATCTTAACACTCAGTGTGCACAGTATTAAAAAAATCTGGGACCACGTAGTACCTTGTGGGAGTACCAGTTAATTTGAGTGACAGCTAGAGAAAACAGCACGGTAAACACCAAGGAAAGTGATGTTGACCCCGAATTTAGTGGCTTTGAGGTGAATGTGGCCACAAGTAATCGCAGAAATATAAAAAACTCGATAATAACCCATGTGCAACACCCTTTCAGAATGTCTTATAACCTATGCCTTAAGTAAAGAGAAACAATTCTGAAACGTGTAATACGTGTTTGGCTGGCTGGCTGGCTGGCTTGCTTGCTTGCTCGCTCTATGGTGTAACAATGACAACAAATAAAGCAAGGCAGTGTACGCTCATCAGATGTCACCACTGTCATCAGTGGAGTGATAATATAACAGTGATATACATCTTATGTCATGTTTCAAGGGTACTATTACTAGTACTAGTGCTACTAGTACTACTAGTACTAGTGCTGCTAGTACTACTAGTACTAGTGCTACTAGTACTAGTGCTACTAGGACTACTAGTACTACAAGTACTAGTACTACAAGTACTAGTGCTACTAGTACTAGTGCACTAAGGACTACTAGTTTCTACAATGTACTAGTACTACAAGTACTAGTGCTACTAGTACTAGTGCTCTTACTAGTACTAGTGCTATTAGTACTAGTGCTACTTGTACTAGTGGTACTAGTGCTAGTACTAGTACTAGTGTACTAGTGCTAGTACTAGTACTAGTCTACTAGTACTAGTTTCTACTAGTACTAGTGCTACTAGTACTACTAGTACTAGTCCTAGTGCTACTAGTACTACTAGTCCTAGTACTAGTCCTAGTCCTAGTTTCTTACTAGTACTAGTGCTACTAGTACTAGTGCTACTAGTACTACTATGTACTAGTGCTACTAGTACTAGTGCTAGTACTACGCTACTAGTACTACTAGTACTAGCACTACTAGTACTAGTACTAGCGCAACTAGTACTAGTACTAGCGACTAGTACTAGTGCTACTAGTACTAGTGCTACTAGTACTAGTGCTACTAGTACTAGTACTAGTGCTACTAGTACTAGCACTACTAGTACTAGCACTACTAGTACTTACTAAAGTGCTACTAGTACTATGCTACTAGTACTAAATGCTACATAGTACTAGTGCTACTAGTACTACTAGTACTAGTACTACTAGTAAATAGTGCTACTAGTATACTATACTAGTGCTACTAGTACTACTGTACTAGTGCTACTAGTACTAGTGCTACTAGTACTACTACTAGTACTAGTGCTACTAGTACTAGTACTACTAGTTACTAGTGTACTATACTATTAGTAACTAGTGCTACTAGTACTATTAGTACTAGTGGTACTAGTACTACTAGTTACTAGTGCTACTAGTAAATAGTGCTACTAGTACTACTATAGGTACTAGTACTATAGTACTAGTGCTAGTGCTACTAGTACTAGCTTTCTTTCTAGTGCTACTACTACTAGTACTAGTACTACTATATACTAGTGCTACTAGTACTAGTGCTACTAGTACAGTGCTACACATACTAGTACTAGTGCTACTAGTACTAGTGCTACTGTACTAGTACTATGCTACTAGTACTAGTACTATCTAGTGCTACTAGTACTAGTGCTACTAGTACTATCTAGTATACTAGTACTACTAGTACTACTAAGTACTAAATGCTACTAGTACTACTAGTACTAGTGCTTTCTATGCTACTAGTACTAGTGCTACTAGTACTACTAGTACTAGTGCTACTAGTACTAGTCAAATAGTACTTAGTGCTACTAGTACTAGTGCTACTTAGTCACTGTCTACTGGTACTAGTACTAGCTAGGCTACTAGTAAGTATCTAGTACTAGTGCTACTAGTACTATGTACTACTGGTACTAGATACTATAGTACTAGTGCTACTAGTACTATCTAGTACTGTACTAGTGCTACTAGTACTAATAGTGCTACTAGTACTAGTACTAAATACTAGTACTAGTTACTACTATGCTACTAGTACTAGTGCTACTAGTACTAGAGCTACTATAGTACTAGTGCTACTAGTACTATTAGTAACTAGTGCTACTAGTACTAGTATAGTACTAGTGCTACTAGTACTACTAGTACTAGTGCTACTAGTACTATACAAAGGGCTACTAGTACTAGCTAGTGCTATCTAGTACTATTAGTACTAGTGCTACTAAATACTAGTGCTATAGTACTAGTGCTACTAGTACTATTAGTACTAGTGCTACTACTAGTGCAAGTCTATTAGTACTAGTGCTACTAGTACTTAGTGCTACTAGTTAACTAGTGCTACTAGTACTAGTGCTACTAGTACTACTAGTACTAGTGCTACTAGTGCTAGTACTACTAGTACTAGTGCTACTAGTACTGACTAGGGTACTAGTGCTACTAGTACTAGTACCCATACTAGTGCTTACTAGTACTAGTACTACAGCTACTAGTGCTACTACTAGTTACTATAGTGCTACTAGTACTAGTGTCTAACTAGTACTAGTGCTAAGTACTAGTGCTACTAAATAGTACTGCTACTAGTACTATGCAGTGCTTAGTACATGCTACTAGTACTAGGGTGCTAGTACTAGTGCTACTAGTACTTAGTGCTAGTACTAGTGCTACTAGTACTAGTGCTACTAGTACTAGTGCTACTAGTACTAGTTGCTACTAGTACTAGTGCTACTAGCAGTTACTTCTAGCTAGTGCTACTACTAGTACTAGTGCTACTAGGTACTAGTTAAATAGTGTTACTAGTACTAGTGCTTATAGTACTAGTGCCATTTGTACTAGTGTAGTACTATGCTACTAGTACTAGTGCTGCTAGTACTAGTGCTACATACTAGTGCTACTAGTACTAGTGCTCTAAGTACTTTACTAGTACCTACTAGTACTAGTGCTACTATAGTTTCTGTACTAGTACTATACTAGTGCTACTAGTA